AGGCAGGGGGGAACCGGAGCAAAACTGGCAGACGTGCCTGAAGGACGACCTCAAGATGTTCCGAGGCAGAGCACGGATCTACGGACGCCGCCATTTTTCTTCGGAGTCCTGCAAACAACTTGGATGGAAGCAGCGAAGATTGGGCGGGGTGGTGTACCGTGGCATACGGGGGGTACTGCAGGGAGCTCGCGGCGGCACCACTTCTCATTAATCGATCAGAACAAGTCGACAAGAGGTTGATGACCTCCTGGCACAAGGATGAAGAGGAGGCTAGCCGACAAGAAGCCCGGCAACAGCAAGGACACGGCAACGACCACTGGGGCGGGAGGGGTGCTTGCAGCAGACGGACGAGATGGCGAGGGAAGACAGGAAACGCGAAGAGGCAAAACGAGTGGCGCGAAATACTGTGCCGGATTGAACCCCTTGATTGACTTATCCCCCCCCCCGTCACTGCACCATTGCACCAACTCCCCCACGAACGATGACGTACCTTTTCGCTGTCTCGGGTGGGCCCGTCTCGTTGTTGTTTGTAGCTACGGTTAGTTTTTTTTTGTGCGTCTTTTCTCTTTCCCTTTTCTCCCTCTGCTCTCTTAATTTTACTTCTTTTTCCTTTCCTTTTCCAGTCTATGGTTACCTCGCATAGCGTGCAGAGGCGAGGGGAGTGTCCTAGACTATCTGTCGTTGATTGCTATTGACTTGCGGACCCTTCTGGTCCATTTTATTTTCGTATACCTTTTTTGGGCAAGTTAGCCTGTGACCATGGGAGTCGACGTCAAGCGTTATACTAGTACGGACAGAAGAAGGTACTGGGTAGAGATAACGGGACGGTTTAACGTGAAGACAGCAACAACAACAACAACAACAACAACAACAACGACTTGATTCTTGCCCGAGGCAAGTTTCTCCAAGCTTTCCTTTAGCTCATCGACAGCGGCACGCGTGAGGGTTCACACGAACCTGCCGTATTGGCCTGCTGTGTTTTCGGCATTTTTGAAAAATCTAGCCGTGAATCATGACCTCTTGGCGTTTCAAAAAACACCAAGCGACTCTCAGGACCATTTCCGCACTCTGGTGGGGCAATCAACCCGAGGGAGAAAGTACATTTCTTGTTGGTTTCTAGTTCTCTGCACCGTCGTTGGACATGACATGTGTCGCAACGTAACAATCGAATCAAGAAGAGGACCTTCTACGTGCGAAGAAAGTCTTCGCATCTTAAGTTGGCGTGCCCGCGGGCCCCACGGCATTTTGCTTCAAGCTGACAGCTTGTCCCTCGCCACCGTCCCCACCCCCAAAGCACACTCCTCCATAAAATCAAAGATGATTCCCCGTGATGCGTAGACATACGTATCGCTTTTTCCACGGGGCTTTTCGTAAGCAGGGCTCGTTGTCGGAGAGAAGGGGGAGACAGCAAAGTGAGAAAACAACAACAATCTCACACCCCGTCGAAACATCTGCTGAGCTCGCGGGTAGTTTAGTCAGCAGCCGCGATTTGTCTCTAGATGTGCCCCCCAGTCCCTCGTGACTACGCGGAGGCTAGTGGCACCGTACCCGAAGCAGCGTCAGCATCAGCGCCCCGTTCGGGGCACACGTCCTTCTGTTTCTTCTGAGTGGGTGGGGGGGCGGTAATAATGAACCACGAGTCGCGCGGGGCAATGTCCTCTCCAATCTCGTCCCCCGCGGCATCCCCGTGCAACAGCCTGGCGATGATACCACAACCTTGCAGTAGCCGGGGACCCGGTCTGGCGTAGTAGGCGTTGCCGTCCAAGGCGTACACCTGAAGTCCCCCGAAAGAGGCAGCAGTCACAACAAGGTACGGGGAGAGAAAATGTGTGTTGATAACGAAAGATATACCCCGGACCCCTGTTTGGTGTAGCACGCCTGATCGTCGCACGTGAGAGCCACGGAGTCCCCCCAACCGTACAGGGTCTCGGTGGATGTTTCAAGACGGTACACAGATTGACGTCGCACGCCGCCGAGCAGGAACGCTGTCTTCTCGTATGTAAACTGCTGGGTGAAGAAGTGTAATGCAAGGACGCATTTCCCTGCTGCCGTATCGACACACTGCTGGAATCCAAACTCCGGGGGGCAAGCAACTCCTTTTCGATACAATGCACGGAGCAGCATTGGTTGCCATTGCAGTATGGTGCCGCCAAATCTTTCTGGTCAAGCGAACGATACACAAGTACACAGGTGTCTGCTTCACCCCCCGCAGTTTAACGCACGCTGGTGTTGCTCCAATCTCCGTCAGTCACTCCTCCCCGCCCTGGCTGGTGCTTGCCTGCTGTATCGCTACGTTGCCATTCCCTCTCTGCTATCGTGCGAGGTACCATGGGAGCCACAAGATTCCACACACCCTCTGGACGGATTTCCAACGTTCGACTACATTACTCCACGACATACAGGATGCAAACGATAAACGTTTTCGAAGAGCTCTCGACGAGACTCCGGATCCAAAGCCACAATTTTCTGCACCGCCACGGCTGTGGAGTAATCGAGCTCTGAAATTCGGTCCAGGGGATGTGGTATCTTATGCAACCTACGGTTTATCCCTTTCTCCTGCGTTCTTGCTGCCGCCCACCTTCCCATCCTTGACCGCTCTGAGCTCCCGCCACCAGTCGTGGCGCCACATCTGCTCCCCGTCGGACTTGGCTCGGTTCCGGTCCATGCCGCAGGGGGCGACGAGGATGACGTCGGCGTCGTAGTCCGTCAGCTCTTTCGCCGACATGCCCATGCTCTTGTTGCCTTTTTCCACCCGCATTTTCGTTTCCCATGGAGGAGGGGGGGACGCGTGCGCATCATCGGTGCGGGTTGGAAACGAAAAAGCCATTGTGGTGACGTGATTTTCAGTGATGGAAGTCAGCCAGCCAAGAGTGTCCACCTCTCCAAAAAAGACAACCGTTAGTGGGCTTGCGGAAAGGGCAGGAGGGCCAGGCGATGGCCACTGCGAAGACACACGTAAGAACAAGAAGGACAAGCACACACACTTGATTCCACACCCCCAGACACCCAACCCCTCAGCCCAAGCCAAACCTATGTAGACATCTACATGTGCGGTCGAGGGAGTGCCTTGCCGCCCGAAGCTTCTCTCGCCTCAATCCTTTTTGTCTCACCGGGTTCTGCCATCGTGTACTCGCCCCCCGCCGCCCGCACGAGATCCGGCACCCAGTGGCCTCCGTTAAAGAGAGGCTCCAGCCACTCTAAAAATGCCACCTTTTTCTTGCGGACAGAACCAGCCCCGCCGGGAGCTACCCCCACTACCCTGGCCGCCGCTCCTGGGGGCCCCATTGCCGCCGGCGCCGCCGTGGCAAGGGTGCTTTCCAGTTTTGCGACGACCGATCTGATTTTTTCGAAGCCGGCCTCCAGACGTCTGGCTTCGGCGATGCCCTCTTCCGTGAAACCGGTCTCGCGCCCAACGAGACGAACGGAGTCGATCACTTCCGCGACGCTCTGTAAGGGTGAAGAAATTGACGGGTGGGGGCCGGCACAAAAGACATGGTTTACAAAGGTCAAGGGAGAAAAATCCAATCTTGAGAATACAGCAAAGGGTTGCGGTCGCGCGCTCTTTCCATTCCTATTCCATTTTCGGTCAGTTTCATTCATGAACACCGCCAATCGAATCAAGTCCAAAACAACCTTTGTCTTGGCACTTGGGCGAGGCTAGAGGTGGCGCAAGCATGACTCAAAAGGGCACAAGGGCGGGGAAGGGAGGGAGCCCGCTAAGACCGGTGGAAACTTATGGGATTCCGGTCAAAGAATACGCGGACCGGCTCCCTTTGTGTGGTGCCGTAAGGTTGTTTTCCCCACAAGCACGGGCGGGGGAACTGGTGCATGTCAAGCTTGGACTAAAACTACCGCGGTACGGGGCTGCAAAACGAACGTACTGTACGGGGCCCAAGATATACACGTAATGCCGCCTAGCATACATCCCCTCGAAAAATTATCACTCAAGGACAATGCTGCTGCTGCAGTCCACCTTGCTGGGGCAACTTTGATGATTTAACCTGAGCTACAGCTGGCGAGGGAAGAGCGGCAGTAGCTTGGGTTCGGTCACTCACTCCCGGTTCGATGGATACGATCCTAGGGTTATCGCCGAGAACCCTAGCGCAGGTGCTGAGAACCATCGGAAACGATGGAGCGCAGACGTCGCACAGAGCTGCCGGTAGACAAGGAGGCGGGAGGGTTGGGGGGAGGTGGGAGTGACCATCCGTAAAATGATCGCATGATTTCAAACAGGTTTGCATGTGTATTCGCGATTCCACCAATCATTACAGCACCCCGAAGACGCTCCACAACAATGTTCGTGACGCACAAAAAATGATACAAACGGGGCGTTGTAACAAACATGCTGCGACTGCCAATCCTTCATGCCACAGCGTAGGTGGCGTTACCGCTACAACACAATGGCGAAGCACGCATGCGTGGAGAACTGTGTGCATAGGTACTCTCAACGGGGCTGGTTGGGAGCAACACTTGGGCGGCGCTCTGGATGGGATGCGTGACACCGAGAGACATTGGATTAACAGCGGCCGGGGTGTGCACCATGGTATTGGGCGCCAACAGGAGGCGGCTGACCGGGACGCGCGTGTCACATCAGCTACACCACGTATTTTCTCGTGTGGGACAAGGACGTTAAACTCGATCAAGTGCCGGTCAAAGGCTTGCCCGGGAGCTTCGAACACTACGGACAGGCGACGGGAGAATACCGTAACCTTGAACCGGAATCAACGTCCGTGTCCGGCAAAAATCCCGGCGCTGGCGTAGCAGATGGCAATGGGAGACATGGTGTGCACCGCTGAATGGTTTGTTTTGTGGACCTGCGATGTTGCTGGTGGTTTCAACGCACTGCTGTAGTGTACCTTGCGTGAATACGACGGTGGGATCAGCGGCCTTGAGACGGCCCTCATCGAGCCCGTACAGGCTGTGCCCCATCCTCATGGATCCCCGAACGCGGCGGTCGATCTCTTCCTGATTGTTGAAAAAAAAAGTTGGGTCGTACCAAAGTGGCTCTCAGTAACACGAGACACCGGGTTTATCATTAAGGCCAACATGGCAGGCAGTGTCGCCATCGAAGAAAAAAGGTGTAGGCGCATCCATCACCTCACACGGTGTCTTCATACCGGAGATGCTCTCCACGTCATATGTGGGGTTGAACCCCCTAAAAACACGAGAGCGGGTGAGCTTTTTACCCCCAAGCCCTCTAGCACACAAGGGGAGGGGGTGCTTGGATCGGCGAAGGCTTTGCAGAAGAGCAAAACCCCGACCAACGAAAAGTCGCGAGCACCCCGGGGCGACAGTGGGGAGTTTCGGAAATATGTGTGGTTTTGCCCAGACAAAATGCCCAGACAAAATTGCCCAGACAAAAATTGGCACGAAAAATATCCGAAAAGAGGCTCAGATGTTTTTTCGGCATGACGTGGCAACGGCCCGCCGCTGATTGGCCGAAAGACTCGCGCGCGCCGTTCCCCACGCTCTTCTTCTCCCCAAGCAAGAAAATAGGTTTGCTTGGTTGGGTGGTGCCATCTATCATCCAAGGTGCCAGGAGCATCTAGCGGGGGTGTTGTTACCGCAGAGAAACACCCTGTCAAGGCTTCTATTATAGCAAGCAAACTCTCAGCCGCTCAGGTGGCGTCCTGCTTCAATCAACCGAACGAGAAAGGCGGCGGTCAGCAGCAGCAGCCACATGTAGCTAGCTGTCGCAGCAGCAAGCAGCAGCAGCAACAGCAGCTTCAACCTAGAACAATCACCCCTCACATAGCGATTTTTTAAGCTGCATTCCAAACCACAACAGCTGTGCAGAGGAGATGGCGCCGATAGAGAGTAACACAAGGCAACGTTTGGGCCACCTCCCAGCAGTTCGAGTGACCTACAGCTCATGGTATGGGTGTTCTCCTGAACTGGTTGTAGGCAAGAAAGTTTATCTTTTTGGGGCTGCTGGTAAACCTTGCCTCATCCCACCCTCCCCTCGGTTCCTTCCACAGCGATCACCACATATCTACACATAGACGCACACCGCCCGCATCGGAGGAAGAGCAGGTCTGTCTGTCCGGTGGTGGTGACATTAGGCTTGGATGAGTCTGTACCATGCGATGCCGTCTTTTGTGGTTTACGTTACTCTGTTGCTGCTCAAATACAAAATATCTGAGCCTTCTGAACAGGAACAAACGCCTCAGATTAAATGAGGTTGGTGAGAGGTTTTTGTCTGAGCCGTGGGTGAAAAGTGGGGCAGCCTCAGACAAATAAAACCGTTACCGGCTACAGATTCCAAAATATCTGACCCTCTTTTTGTCTGAGCATTTTGTCTGACCCCAAAAAAGAATTCCGAAAGGGTCTAGTATGTTTAAGGGGAGTTATCGCAGAGGATACCACGGGTATTATGCTGACTAGCACACGAAGAAGCAAGCGTACCTGAGACATCTTGTGAGGGTTGATCTCCGAATTCGTGACCCGTTCGCACCTCGCAACCACGGCTGGAGGGTGGTCACACTCGTGAGTTACACCTACCAGGTGCTCCTCCAGACCCCCACCGATCTTCCCACAGTGATTTTTTTTAGATTGTGCCAATGCATTCGGGACGCGGCGTTGGGGAGGACAGCAGTATGGGCGACAACAAAATACGTCATAAAGTGATTGTGGTGTAGTGCTTCGTGTTTGCGTTCATTCACCAAATGTGTCTGGTGGATGCGCAATCTTTTCGCTCACTCTCGCAGAGAAACAAACGCTGCTCGCCAGTTCCCCAAACAATGCAATGTAGTAGACAGCAGTAGCTGTTCTTCAACCCATCGACCAATCTCGTTGACGCATGCAAGACAACCAACAGCTGAGCTCTTCTCTGGTTCAAAATGATCGCATGCCGCACAGTGAATTGCATGTGTGCCCCCAGATCGGGTCTCTTCAGTGGAGACCAAAACCGGGAACACCGTTGGCTCCGTCAAAACTAGAAGCGAGACAGCGGTAGCATACTTGAAGTCCGCCGTACCACCTCCTGTCGCGGTACATCGTATCATTTCCTCTGCCTACATGACATCGTTGGCCTTAGATCTAGGTCTTTTCTGTGTGCAGTACTTCTCGGGTTCGACGTAAGGTCATGGCCATCGTTGAGATCTCCAAGCGCGATCCCTCGGGTCTGAACCCGCCGGTCCATGCATACGACATGGACCAGATGTACACTACGCATGTTTTGGTCAAACTCTTACCGCGCAGACAATCTCTGTCAGAGACGGCAGAAGCGATACCACACGTAGACCGTCATCTCGCTGAGCCGGCATGCCGGTAGACTGGCAGCTTGCAGAGAGAAAGAGAGAAGGGAGAGAGAGAGAGAAAGGGAAGGGCGGGAGAGAGAAGGGTGAGGAGAGAAGCGGTGATGGCGCGGGCGGCACTAGACTGTCGAATAGTGCCCAATCAGGTGCCGAGCTACCGTAGGTTGCATAAGATATCACACCCCCTGGACCGATTTTCGAAGCTCGATTTCCGGCAGGAAGCGCAGTGATGGTGCCAAAAACATGGCAGCATTGGAACCGTCTCATCGAGAGCTTTCCGAAAACGTATGCTTTGATTTCGGCATCCTCTTCGGTGGAGTAATCGAGCTTTGAAAATCGGTCCAGGGGGTTTTATCTCATGCAACCTACGGTATGTGAAGGGTATGCGTCAACCCGAGAATACTCCACTCTCTGGGTGCCCTCAATGCAAGATAGATCCCGCTGTGCCCGCTGCCGTTGTCGACCCTCGCATCAGGTGGCGTCCTCGTCATGGTAAAAGCGAGAGACACGTCACGGAGAGCCCCCTCAGGCGTGCTGTGGCTTGCTGCCGTTGTGTCTGCCGCATGCTGTGTCCAATGTGAGAACATGGGAAAAGAATCCGTCAGTGAAAGACTGTAAGTTTCCCACGTGTGTTGCTGTGGACTCACCCTCACAAACCTCCTCACCCCGCGGCATTCGGGGTGTGACCGCTGTACATAGATGTCTGCCCCAGTGGATGGTCCTTTCTGCGTGTGCTGTGTGGTTGTTGCCGTACACCCTCTTTGATTTCGAGAACTAGAGGTGGTGGGGCTACATACATCCCTCATCTACATTCGACGCAGCAGCATGAAATATTAGTGCAACAACCTTCTCATCCTGTACATGTACATGTGTTCTCGCGTTCACGGCACCAACACCTTATGGCGTTGGTACAGCAGCAGCAGCAGCAGCAGCAGCAGTAGTAGCACACCGCGCAGTTGCTGCGATTCCGGCCGGATGTTTCGTGTGGCGTTGTGTTGCCAAGAGGTTAGTCCTTCACTCAGTGTGCACCTGTTCGCGACGGCATGGCATGGATGGAGTGGCATCATGACATCATGACACGTGCGGAAGAATAACGCTCGCCTCTGCCCTGGGCAAGAAGAAGAGCAGTATGAAGGACGGAGACAACAAACCAAACACCTCGCAAGAGGACATGCAACCTTGTCATTAGCGACATGTACAAGACTTTTCACACAAACTTCCCCTTGTCTGTTTCGCCTTGTCGACCTAACCCTCGCAGGTTTTTATTATTAAGCAAACATGTTGGATAGAGGATACAATCAGGGAAGTTGGGTCAGGGTCAGGGTTAGGGATAGGGAATAGGGTCTGCGAAGGCGGTCCTCCTTCCTATAACCAAGCACCCCGCTATTGCTCTCCGCCTCTACTCTCTCGCGCAGCCTCGCAAGGGCGAGCGACATGGACGACGATGGCAGCAGATCGAAAAAGGCACTGGACGGTGGTACATCGACGAATAGCTCGAATCCGGGGCGGTGTTGACAGCAACGACGGCGACCGCCCACCGTTGGACCCGCCAACAAACCCACGAGCAGTTCCGACGAATCCCCGCGCAACGACGACGCAGAAGTCGTTCGCGGATCGGTTCCAGTCTCCGGGAGAAACGTCTTCTTCCAGAGATCCGCCGCCGCTGGGAGAGCATAGCGAGGCCTCTGCAACTCCCCTGGTCGCTAGCTCGGCGCCGTTGCTACAGGAGGGGTTGCCCGCGGGGCCGGTCAACCCCTCCTCGAGGAGCGTGCCGGTGTTGCGGCTTAGCTCGGACGGTGCGGCCATCGAGACTGCGGTGAGTCGCTACTGCTGTTGTCCGGGGGTTGCACCATCAGAAAACAAATGCCTCATCGCGAAGGTAAAGGCCTTACTGCGGATGCCTACAGGGGTTTCATCTCCAATAATGCCGGGTTTTTTCCGCGTTAATTACGCAAGTTGTTCCGTTTATGAACGTTGTAACTGATTCACGCCCAGTAATAATCAACAGCGCCAACACCAGCAGTACCAGGGGACTGCACCCTCCCAACCTCGAGTTTTGCGCGATCCTTCGGAATACGCGTTCCTTCTGCGCATTCCCCCGCGGTGCTTTGGCCTGAAGAAAGCGAGGCCAGTTCCGAAAGAGACTTACATAGCCAATAGGAGGGAAGCTCCAGTGTAACGGTCGGATAACTTCCCCCTTTTTCATGTCCAAGAACGCCATGCAGGAGTGCGAAAAGCCCTGCGTACTGCAAAACAAACGATATGATCCTCCTCAGAGGGTGTTATGAAATGCGGCCTTGGTCAGGTTCGAGCAACACGTGACACCCGCCCCCCCCCCCTCCCCCACGAGCAGCTTTCGCGGCAGCAGCTTGCGGCGGAGCTGACCTGCCCGCTGCGCGACCTGAGGATGGCGGACCCAACGTTTCCCGGACAGTTCCCCTCCGTGCTGGCAAGAAGAGGCTCCATCATTTTTTCCGTGGGGGAGGTCAAGGTGCGCCGTGTGGATTGGGAGGAGGAGGCTGACACGCCTAGAAATCTCGGAGAAGCGTGGTATGCTTGACGAGGGCCCACGGTACAAAATACCGATTTTTCCCTAGAAGGTTCATGGCAAGACTGGTGCGAGGGAAATCATACCGTGCCGCCAAGCAAATCACGCGGGCGCATGTGTCTAGATGTGGCACCTCGTGCCCCCACGCTCGAATATCACACGTTGGGGGTGATATTGTCAGGTGGGGGGAGGGCGTGATGAGAGTATTGCGAAACCTCAGGACGTGTGGCATGCTTTTGTCGCCCGTGTGATCAATGCCGCCGGCCGGCCGGTCGTTTGGAGCTATTAATAGAGAAAAACAGGAAAGCATCACTCGGTGTTGTTTTTTCTGTCGAGGTGTGATGTTATACGCCTTGCTCGTGGTTGTTGAGCATCCTATGTGACTCGCTCGCGGCAGAGTCGATTTACGAAGCTCCCATCGAGCTTCGGCAGTGTGCTCTCGTGCGTCGTGGCGTAGTTCCGTCCATGCCTTCGTCCTCTTTGATAACTGCCTTGACTGCTCCTACCTCTCGCTCCTATTGTGGCTCGATAGAGGTATGTATGTAGGGTGACGCACGACCAGCGCTCGTGTGGTAGGGTTTGCCAACGGTTTGCTCACGGTGCTGTACAAAACGGTGGGTTTACTTGCGCACACGTGAAGGTACTTAAAGCTTCCCCAGCGATAAAATGCAATGACGTCGTACTGACCCCCTCCCCGCCTGTCGATATTTTGTGGCTTTTGATTTGACGCAGGCTGTAATCTTGTCTAACGAGGTGCTGCTATTTCCGACCAAGCCTGACGTGCTTTCGATCGTCCCTGCCGTCCAAGAAAAGGTACAGCGAGCAACGCGAGGATTATAGGCGAAAAGGGGTACAAAGATTGGTCTATTTGTATTCTGAGGCATTTCACGCCTGGCGAAAAACACTGGTAGTACAGTCAGGAAGAGGTACCGAAAGTGGTCAACCGCTTGGCAACTTGAGATCTTCATGCATGGCGGAAAACACCAACAGCATTAACGCTAATGATCTTGGAAAAGCTCAACCATGCAGCCAAGAAGGCGAAAAGCTACTACTGTCTGTTATCTGGGCAGGTGATATTTCTTTCACACATGTATGCATATGCGTGTACTTAGACGTGGTTTTGGTACACTTGAGGTACATCACGATCCCCGTGAGAGCTAAGAACAATATTGGTAGTATCTACCGTACAGCAGTACCTCGTGTTTGTTTGGGCAAAACCAACTGCTTGAACAGATGCGGGTACCGTGATTGTGTTCCACAGTCCGCTAACTGGGGTCTTATATCTTTCATTTGGCATTTTCCGCGTGCGCCTGTGCTCGTCATTTTCTGTCCGACACCACAGAAATACAACGATTGCCTGCAGTCTTACGCGTGATATGAATGCTGTGTCGTCTTGTTACTCTAGCATCAGCGGCGCTACCCGACTAGCCAATGAAACAGCGCCATCATTACCGGGACAGAAGTCGAAACACAGTTTTCCTTGCGATTATTTGCCTTGTGGCGCTTCGCTTCTTAACGGTGTTTACTAGACCACGCGATCCGACTGGCCGAGTAAGATTGATTGCATATCGCATCCGGCGGGTGTGTGCCTGTCTGTTTATTTTACTCGGATCGGTCACGCTGACCGATAACCAATCAAAAAGCGCGTCGGTTCTCTCAGCGGAGCAAAGCTAAGCGACATTTGCCTGTGTTTTCGTTTCTATCCATGTGTTTCCTTTATTCAGATAAGGCTGGGGATAAGGGCGGTCCCTTTCGAACAGACGGTGATGGAATGCTGCCTCAAGCACGTGTGCAAAGACCTCCTGGAGAGCGCTCGGAACGTCGAGCCCAGGTTAAGAACGGTGAGTTTTTCCGTCTCAGGGTTACCATGGCGATTTCGCTCTTGTACTATCGTATTCATATTTACCAACCTCAAGTTTTCCCTCTACCGAGACTCACGAAGGCTAAGGTTTGTTGCTGTTTTTTTGTTTTTTTCGGCCTTGTGTGCTACGGCGCCGTCGCCTTGATGGCCATTTATATAGGCTTCAACGTTTTTCCATGCGCCCGCCTTTGCTGGTAGAGCCGGCTTTTTCGCCCCATCACACTGTGCGACAGTACGGACGCTTTTGCTCTCAGAGCGCTACTACTGTAGGTGGACAAAGTAGTGTTTGTCGACATCATCGGGCATACGTTCAGAACTAATGCTGTTAACTTCTCACGCGCGACACTTTGTTTTGTGGGTGTGGCAGAAAGAAACGATGGAACCTTGTGGCTTGGCGCATTTGGACGCCAATTTCTTGTGCATTTCACCAATAGGAAGGAAGGGACGGCTGCAGCTACAACAACCCCAAAACCAACCCTGCCCCACACCCTAGATCCTACCCTTGACCATGAACAGAACCGATGCGAAGGTGTTCTACTAAGGTCCCTGCCCTGCTCTACCGCTACCCCTTCTCGGCCTCAAGGTGCTGGATTCCTTCAAGACTTCGAAGAACTCGCTGATAAAGTCGCTGCACCGATTGCTGCCCCTGAAGAACGAGCTCGACGAGCTGAAGGAGACCCTCGTGACGGTGAGGGATGGGAGATAATGAGTGAGGGGCACGCCGCAAGCATTGCCCCGATAAATGTGCTATTTTTGCTGCTGCTGCTGCTGCTGCTGCTGTCGTTGTTGTTGTTGCCGTTGCTGCTGTTCGTGCTGTTGCTGCTGCTGTTGTTGATCTTTGCGGGTGCTCTGTGTTTGTGGTGTCCCGAGTTGATGCAAGCAGGGTTAACGTTCTGGTTCTTGTGTTGAACTGCACACCATGGTATACAACAAACTGCCGCAGACAGACCAGGTGAAACAATTTAGGTGTACATGCATGGGCGAAGACCGCAGACCACCGAAGAACTTGCAGTCCCCCCCCCTCTTCGCGATTCAAGATCCTCGGTACAACAGGAAGTCTTGACCATGCCGTTATGGAAGTGTTGATTTTACGATGAAGACGCCGCTCTCTTGTTGCATCTCGAAACAAGGCGTGCCCCCCCCCCCCCCCCCAAAATTCTTCTTTCAACCCACTTCTAAGGCTAAACCTTG